AAAAAGTATTGTACATATATATCTAAATTTATTGTATTGCACCACTCACATTTATTCAGGTAAAAAACGGATATATACGAAGAATTACAGATGAAGAGATAAAGTCATTAGCATTGGAAATAGCCGGGACTAATGTGGCTACAACTTACATTTACTGTCCAGCGTATCCAAAGAAGGAGCTGGGTATTAAGCTACCCTTTCTTATCATCATTATCAAAAACATGAAGAAATATTTCACATTTGAGATAACAGTAAAGTCCATTTGAATACTAAAAAATAAGGCCTCTAAGTTTCTTTAAACAAGACTTTTTTTTATTCAATTCTTTAGATATACAATTCTTTAGATATACTAGTTTTTAGGATACTTGTTCATCATTATAAATAAAAAATTTTATTTTCTTTCGTAAATAAAAAATGATGTGTCTTAAATAAAATTTCTAATTTTTATTATTGTAAGTATATTGTGAATAAATCTTTTATATAATTTTTCTTCTTGAATAAAACTTTCTATTCCTTTTTCTTTTCGAATTCCTGTTCTCATTATATATGTAATCATCATATATATATCTAACTTTTTTGTAGATTTGCGACATATTATAATCTCAAAAAATTAATTAATAATTTGTTAAATAGATATTGGACGACAAGAATATGCACAGGAGATTCCGCGTGAGCAATTTTCAGAGTACGACACGCATTCGCCCGTTTTCCACATCCATGCCCATCGGACTTTCAGGTGGATGGAATCAGATTCAATTCAATTTGTCTGATTTTACACGACGAGCCTATGGTACAAATTATATTGAAACCACTAGAATGCAAATTCATGCCAACTGCAGAATCAGACGAGTTTATTTCGCCGATAGGCAAGGATTAATATACATGTATCAATTGATTTTCTAATCAATTCTTTAAATTTTGTATTATCATCGATAAAATAAGTCATTTTATTTATTTAACGTAAGCCTTATTAATAGATATCAGAAATTTCTTGATATTATATATTGATAGGTCAATGTAAAATAATTTATTAAATATATTAAGTAATCTACAATCTTAATGATAGTTTTTTTTAACACAGTAGTTTCAAATTAAATGTTAAGCAAAAGCAATTTTTAAGGCTTTATTCAGAGGACGAAATGCCAGAAGAGTTCAAGCTCTTCTTGCCGATGCATCGAAAGAAATGTGTTAGAGAGGAAGACGTGCCGAAAAAACCAAGTGTAATACTTGAGAAAGTACCGTCCGTCGAAATACCTATCGAGCCGGAAGAGGAGATACTTGAGCCGCCAGTTGTGCAGAAACCTGACTTAATCGAGAAAGCGATACCAGAGCGTGTAGAAGAAGTAAAAGAGATAATTACAAAGAAAGATGAAGAAGAAGAAGCAGAAGAAGAAGCAGAAGAAGCAGAAGAAGAAGCAGAAGAAGCAGAAGAAGCAGAAGAAATAGAAGAAGCAAAAAAAGAAGAAGAGGAAATTAAAGTTAAAGAAGAGAAAGCAGAAAAAGAAGAAGAGAAAGTTGAAGCAACTGTGGTTGAGGAAAAAGTCGAACCTGCAGCTGCTATTCGTGAGGTCGAAGAAAAAAAAGAAGTTATATCAAAATTGGAAGAAGCAGAAGAAGAGGATAAAAAAGATGAAGAAATTAAAGAGGAAGAAGAAGAAGAAGAAAATGAAGATGAGGAATAAATATAATTTCAAATAATGAACATATAAAATAGTTTCAAATAATAAATGTGTTTTATATAATCTTATATTTTATTAGACTTTGTATATTCTTTTTGTATTATTTTAACAAAAAACGGATTATAGAATTATTACAGAATGTTAGAGAATATTAATAATTAAACAGAATAGTATTTCAGAACTTAAATTATGGCATATCATAATCTTCTTCCTCTCGTTTTCTTTTCAATGATTCGTCGGTTTCCATTTTCACGGTCGGCAACGTTTGATTGGAAGTAATCTGTATCTTCGGTTTCGTTACTTGTGTTTTTACCGTTGTAGTACTTGTTGCCGCTACAAAAATATTCGTATTAACGTAGATATTATGAGATTTAATTTAAAAAATTTCAGCTATATTTAATTTTAAAGTTTCTTTGTTGACTCACTATTGTTGACTGCTATCATTTAAGATTGTAATGTCAGTAAATGTCACGATAGAACTTAAAAAATATACTGAAACTTTTCTTTTATTTCGTTAATTAATAAATAACTATACTACATCTAGAAATGAAATTTGATTGCACATGCAATCAAAATGAAACGAGTTCTTTTTATTGTGACAAACTATCAAATTAATAATTTACAGAAATAAATATAATTTAATTTCTTCTTAAACGAGAAGATAAATTTTGATACAAGTTCTACAAGTCTATTCTATTCTATCGATTGGAAATGTTGCTTGCATTAATATATTAAAAGAATATTTCTTCAAATATAATTTTATATTTGAATTTTTGTATTTTCTCTTCATGTCACAATTTGATTTGGAATAATATTGATGAATAAAGGAATTTCAAATTTGTAACTTTTTTAAATGTTATTAAATTCTTTTGATTTTGGATAGATATACAAATTCTAGTAATACTAATTGCAGCTGTTTCAGTATTTTTTTTATATTAAAATCTTACTTGCTGGAGTTTTAAAGGAAATACGGAATGGTGTGGAGTAATGGGACTGCAGTAGACAGAACGAAGCTTGGAAATAGAAAAAGGACATAATATTTTATATTAAAGCAATATAATAAAGCAATTATATGTATTAGTAAGAAGTTAACATAATTGTGAATATCAAGAAACAGTTACCTGTGGAAAATTTTAAAACAGGTTTTGGTATAGAAATAGTTTGTGTTCTTGCAACAGTGGCAAGTGTGCCAGGTCTTTTAACAATCGACACACTAGTCTTATTTCCCTCTATTTTCGATCTTGGCTGTCCACCGGATTGATTATTGACCAAAGAGTGTCCAGATTTCTGAATAACTTTCTTTGTCGCATTTTTAAGTCTATAATTCGGTGCGTTTAAGCAATATCGATCTGGTGGTAATCTGAGACCATTATTTGGTTTGACAAAAGGCAACGGAATATTATTCTTGGTTCGTGCCACATCCAATAGAACATCTCTGGGTGGTGGATTTGTGAACGAACGTTCTAGCTGCATCTTGACTGCCAGTCTGACATCATCCAGGTCAATGAACTTCTTTTTAGCATGATTGGCATATACTTTGCTATCGTCCAATATACATGTGACATATCCTGTATGAAAATTCCATTAATTAAATAAATTTCAATTAAAATAGTAAAATAGTAAAATAGTTAAAAAACGTCAATTAAAAATTATCAAAATAAAGTTATTACAAAAGAAAGAAAAAAAAACTTACGATATGTAAATTCCAATAGTTGATTGATCACCTTAGGTTCATAATCTGTTATTCCCATGTCTTTCATAATTGACATGATGACTTGAGCATCTTTGGGAATATGTTTGACGTGACTCATGTTTTTCGTTTTTTCCGACATCTCGTGAAATTGAAATAACTCTTCGCTGTATACACTGTATAAGCACTTTGTGTACAACACCGTAAATAAACAATGAACGATTGAAGTGAATCTTTTAGGTTAAGTATATTTATGCTACAACGCTGGAAAGGAACCCACGGAGTAATAAAGATGCATTTACATGCAAGCGCCAAGCGTTAAGCAGCGGAAGCAGCAACCAATCAGTGATACGAGCAGTGGTGTAAAAAATATTTTTTACATCATTGTAAAAATTTCCACGTGATTGGTTGCTGCTTCTGCTGCTTGACGCTTGCATGTAAATGCGCCTTATGAAGGTATATTCACATATAGCGTTTTCGGCCCGATCGGGTTTGCACCAACTTGAGTTAAAAAATGCTTCGTTATTGATTGACATTATACATTCTACCAATAGAGCACGAAGCATTATTACTTCAACCCAGGTTCTAATAAACTCTGTTTATAACCTTTCGCTACACGACAGGTTTAATCGGATTTATAACATAACATAACATCCGTAATTATGAAATTGGCTAATCATAACTGTTTCTTGGAAGAATATAATGACTGTGATTGATCAATTTTATAATTACAGATGTCATTAAATCCGATTAAGCGTGCTGTGTTGAGCTGCACAACAGATACATAATGGTTACGCCGACCCGAACAATAAGCAAACAACATATCCTACTCGCTTGGAATCTAATCGCTTAGAAGTTGAGCCAAAACACAAAACCATCGACGTAAAAAAATTCAATGTAAGATTTTAGAACTATATAGTACTGATAATTATCACTTTGGTGCATCAATAAACACTTTACAATCCCCGAAATCTTACCCACATTGAATTTTTCGATCTCTCAGTGGGATGACTTAATCGCGATTATATTAGTAATAAATAAGCAATAAGCAATATAATTAAAATAAGCTCTTTCAATCTTTAAAATACAAAAAAACTTAATAAATAACAGAGTTAATACGAGTCAGCGCGGATAATTAAGCGCAAGTTTTGAAGATTTTTTTTTAATCTACCAAACTTGCGCTTGATTATCCACGCTGCCTCTCATTAGCCCTGTTGTTTGTTGGTTTTTTGTATTTTAAATAACTCAAAAAATAAGAACTCGCAATTTGCGAGCAAATTACCCTCCCGAATATTCAGTTACTTACTCTTTACAAACTTAGATTGGTGTCACACACCAATCTACCTCTCAATGAGCAGAATATCTAAAATTGACGCATAAGACAACTTTAAGATATCTTTAAGAAATATCTTCAAAATATTTCATAAAGAATTCTGAAACATATCTTAAAGTTATCTTACATCGATTTTAGACATTCTGCTCATTGAGCTCGTAGAGATTCTCTTCTTTCTTCTGGCCAGATTGAACTCACCTTTCGTTGCTCCTGGCCAACATTTTGGCTTCATAAACCAAAAATCGACAACAAGGAGAAATACTCCTTTTTGTTGTCGACTGTTGCCGACTAATCGCTGGCAATAAGCGTAAAACTTTACGCTTTTGATGCGCGGAACACGAACGCGTCGCGAAGAGGCCATCATATTAATAAAATAGACTAAATATTAATATAAACAATTATCATTAATAATAATAATAACAACAATTCTATTAATATACGAATAAATTTCGTGTTTATTCAAAATCAAAAATATAAATATTAGACTAAATGTAAATTTAAAAAATCTTCATGTACATAACGTTTTTATTTCAAGAGTCTCGAATATTATAAAACTAAATTAAATTTCTTAATGTAAATTTTATACTGTAATCTAAAAGATTTATTTAAAAATAAATGACTGAAAATTACTAAATCGATTATCATCCGATAAAATTCAAGGCTTATGTATATATTTTTAACGATTCGAACGATTCGTTGCTGAATCTCATCTCAAAACATGCGGAAATGAGAAATTCCGATGAATGATGTAAGATCCAAAAGGGATAATTTTCCCTCATTTCAATAAATATATTTCTATCGCATTTTGTATATTATTAAAATCATTTTTTGAATAATTTATTATTTCAAAATTAAGTATTTTAAATATTTTAAGTTATGCAAAACTCTGAACGCGATTTTAAAATAATTATAAGATAAAATTCTTATATTTTTTGATAAAATGTATATTGAATCTTACATCATGTTACTACTTTAATTGGTATACAATCCAATTACTACATATGGATAAGTTACAAAAAATTAGGTTGAAGTAAGTGCATTGAGATAAATAATAATAATTAATAAACGTAAAATGTTTTTTATAGAAAAGCGAAATTAATAAATTATATGCTCTACTTTATTATAATTCTCGTTATTTTATTAATAAGATGTATATAAATAAGTATGAAAAAAGAAGGAATTTCTTAGAAAACAGTTGATATTATAGGTAAATATACATATATGTGTAATGTATAGGTATTGTTTTTCAGTCAACTTGTATAAAACTTAATCCTGAATGAATATATTTGAGGATAGAATAGATAGTAAAAATAAGAAAACAATATTTATTAAACTGTAATAAACACTTTTTTTTATATATGACGTTGTCCAGAAAATAATTTCATATACTCTAATTATTATTTTATATAAGCTTTTTAATTTCCCATATTTCATATATTTCAAAAATACAAATATTTTATCCTTTTTCATTTTAACTTCCAAGATGTATTATTTTAAAATAAAAAATCTTAATATAAAATTTCGATCTCATCGAAAAAATCCATTTTTTATTATACTTATGATTAAATTACTTAATAACAAAGCGTTCACACGTATGAATTTATAATTAGTATATAAAATTTAAGTTATATTTAATAATAATTAGAAATAATTTTAAATGCCCCGGTAAAAAATTTTTCATGCATGAATAAACATACATAAATATTCATAAACATGTATAATCGTGTATGAAATATGTCCATACATGTTCATACATCTCTTTTTCTTTTGTAAGATACTTTTTTAGTTTAATAGAAATAATAGTAAAGTAAAAACATTAAAAATAATTAAAGAGTTAATTTTCGCATTGTTTCGCATTGTTTCAGGAAAAATAACAAGTTTGGAAAAATTGCTCATACATAATTATGTATAGTTTTATATATTGTATAATTATATATAAATAATTTTTTTACATTTCTTTAAACTTGATTTTATAAAAAACAAATAGTATAAAAATTAC